TTGATTTATGTTAGGACAAGAATGAATCAGTTTACTTAACAATAAAATGTTTTAAACTATTCATTAAACGTAAAAGCTCATTGACGTTTCATAATTCATATGGCGCATGTGGCGACATCTACGAGTTAACTCAAATCCTCTCACACATTATTGTTTACCCTTACAAAAACTATAAGTCAACTATGAGTCATTATGTAGAAAAGTAGCTGATCTATTAACAAAAATCTATTTTATTTTTTTCGCTTTAACATCCTGTATCTCAGTAAGGAGCAGACTAAGACCCATTATTGTTAATGAAAATATTATTATTTTGGCCTCCTGAACGTACATTTACAATTTGGCCCATTACTTATGAATCACCCTGTATATCTATATAAAACTATATATCTGCTATAAAACTAAATAAAACTAAAACGTCTAAAGACGCACGGCTAAACCCGAAACTTTATAGTTCTAGTTCTAGTTTTAATTGTTATTCAGCGCTAAATTGTTGTTAATTCTCATTGAACTAAAACTAAACCAAGAACTAGATCGATTCGGGTTTAGCCGTTAGTCTTTTAAGATGGCTAAACTTGAATGTTGTAGCACCAAGGCAAAGCCACTGCACAGTTAAAGAATATATTTTTGTTTTTGTCAAGATTATTGTTTTTTGTAGAATTAACATACTCGTATGTCCAAAATAACCAAAACAGATATAGGATATTTTTTTTTAAACTGTATATGCTTTAATGAAATATCATATGATTTCAACCTATACAGGGTGTCTCAGCGAGACCGGTCATTAGACGTTTCTGGGGTTCTGGGAAAACAAAAAATTTGAGAATGCAGACTTAAGTATTATCAATCACGTTCTCCTCGTCTAAAATATTTTCAGATTTCTAGCACTTCCGGTTATACCGGAAGTCGCCATCTACTTTATTTTTTTAAATGGAACACCCTGTATATTTTTACNAATTGGTAGAGGATGTTGGCCACCTCGCTCACCCGATCTAACCCCTCTAGATTTCTTTTTATTTGGTCATTTAAAAAATTCTATCTACAAAAACCGGTTACATACCATAGAAGAATTGGAAGATGCAATAAGACAAAACGTTCAGCAAATAACCGGAGAGCAACTTGTACACGTCTTCGATAATATGAAGAGAAGAATTACTTTATGTTTAGAAAATAATGGTCAACATTTTGAATTTTTTTTATAATAAATAAAGCAACTTGTAAACCTGTATTTTTATAATAAAATAAAAGATCTTTCTTGATTTATGAAATAAATTAATTAAAAAAGAATAGCTTAGACTCTTAGAGGGTTCTCTTTTTATTAGTGAATCCTTTTTAATTATTTTCACCATAATTTAAATTTACATCCACCAGTCTAACTCCAGAGAGAATTTATTTCGAATCTTGTTTAACGAGAGTAACATTTTTAATTTTGTGCGTGTGAGTTTCTAAGGTTATGTTTACTAAACTAAAAGTTTCCTCCCATTTCCCCACCACTATTTAAAACAAGTAAAAGTGGAACGAGGGTGTGACCGATGTGAGCAGGGCAGTAAGTATTGGTATCAAGCGCTTGGGAAAGTAGTTTTTAGCGGTTGGATGCATAATGCTCTCAACCGAGCATTATGCATCCAACGTCGACAATGCCAACAAATCTAAGCCTTATCAAATTCTAGATTACAACGAAAATAAAGCAGGTGTCGATACTATGGACCAGATGCTCAGTGGCTACTCTTGCAAGCGTGGCACAAACCGTTGGCCATTAGCCTTGTTTTATAATATGTTAGATGTAGCTGGACTGGCATCATTTATTATTCACAATTCTTTCCAACCATCACGCAAAACGGATAAACGTCGTGAATTCCTAACGGTTGACATCCCAGTTGGTTACTCCTCACATGGAGAATAGAGCAATGAATAGTCACGTTAGCCGCTGGCCTAATATCAGTGCAGCTATGGCAAAATTTAATGTTTTTGTAAGTAATTATAAAAAATAAAGTATTATATATTCCTAATTCTACCTTTATTATTACAGACATCGTCGCATTACCTTGAACAATACCCAGCACCAAGCACATCCGCACCACCAGCAAAGAAAGAACGAAAGGACTGTACGTGGTGCAATCCTCAGCACAAGAAAAAGCGGCGCAAAACGTTCTTGTCGTGTGAAAAATGTAAAAAATTCATGTGCCTTGAACACGGCTCTATGAAGAAAATTTGTCTGTGCCATGACTGTGCTGCTAAAGAATCATAAATTCTGTAAATTTAGAAAACTATACGATAACAATTCATTTCTGTTAATTTGTAGTTAACTATTAACTAGTTAACTAATAAATAAATCAGTTTAAAGTTAACCATACAAAAATAGTAATTTTACTAAAGCATCCAAACTGCACCACCCTGTTAAGAGACCGCCTAATAATGACACCCACATACAGCTATAGCGTCATACAATAGATCTACCCAATAGCAGCTTTCGATGGGACACTTAGCTGGACGAAAATCGTAAGGACAACTGACCATGGCTTATGGGCCTCGCGAGGCCCAGTAGGGTCACTTACCACCTATTAGGTAGTTAAACATCCTAGGGTTAATATTATTTTTAATATTAAAAATGATAATTTTTGTATCATATCATAAACTAAAATGTTTAAGCTACAATTTAACATATGTATTATATCATAATTTTTAGAAGTACAGATGATATGATTTTTTGACAATTTCATATAATTTTTGATTCATTAATTAGACAGCTTCCTCTTTAACAATTTTTTTTCAAAATTTTTATTGTATTATTTTATAATTTTTATATTATATCATAAACTAGAATCTGAATCTCATTATGGTTTGCTCTGTTTTGAGTCAAAAAAGACTGGAAATTATCATGATAAGATGAATGCTGAAGTGTTCGAAAGATGGTTTCATATCATAGCCGAAATACAGAGAAGATACCCACTAGTCCTGGAGTATTCCTGGAGTCCTAGAGTATTCTAGAATTATGATAATGGGATGAACATTATGAAATGGGGGCGATTGTCCCCATATGATTGTGAATTAAACCCCGTTGAATTAATAAAAGGAGGAGTTGCAAGATATAATATATCATTTAAAATGAAAGATCTGCACCCATTATTTCAACAAGCTGTAAGCAATGTTTCTGCAAATAATTGGAGGAATGCTATTCCTCATGCCATTACGTCATA